GTGAGGGCCAGCCGTCCCTGCTGCCTCCGGCCCAGAGGCGGGAGCTGCCTTGCTTGGGTCTCCGCTTTGCAGAAGTCCACTCACGGGTGGCCCTGGGTAGGGGCACTGTGGACTGCGCAGCGGTAGGTAGATGAGGCAAGAAAGGAATTCAGGCACAGGTGTCCTTGGAGCACTCTCCTGCCTCGGGGTCACGCTGTGCGGTGGCGGGAGCCACTCTAGCATCCCCTTCTTGAGGTCACACTGAGATGCCTGCCTGCCAGAGACGCTGCACTGGGTGCAGGAAGTGTGCTCACCTGCTCTTGGTGTCACACTGGGAGTTCTGGCCCAGGCCTGGGTGCTTTGGTAGCCTAGATTGGGTGGTCCCCAGCGGCACAGTGGCCTCTGAGGTGCCTGGTTGCACCTGGAGCAGGATCTCCGGCTGCTTTCTGGAAAGGCTGCGGGGGCCTCTCCCCTCCCCCAGCCCCAGTGTCCTCGCCCTGCCCTGCTGAGCCTTCAGTGTCTGGGGCTGGAGGACAGGAGCACAGGACCCCTCAGGAGTCTAGGGACCAACCCCAGGGTAGGATGAACGTGGCTCTGGCCCTGTGTCTCAGATGTCTTAGGCCACACTGCCAGAGCTTAGGGCCACTGTGTGATGGGAGCCGTGCTGGGCTCTGGGTGACCTTGGAACCTGTGACCCCATCTTCCTGTTAGCTGAGGCGGGCAGTCAGCAGCCTCACACACTCAGTCTAGTGGTGGGGTGAGCCCAGGGGACCCGGGGGCTTTCCTGTAGGGAGTGGCACACAGGGTGACTGGGACAGCAAGAGGGTCTGTTGATGCAGTAGCATAAGAAGAGCAGGACAGGGGCATGTGACCTCTGCAGGGCCAGGCACCTGCAACCCCGCTTGCTTAGTGCCTGCTGGTCTCATCTGCCAGCCAGGCCCCAGGTGGGTAGGTGGGGCCTGAGGTCCTGGGCCACTCTGGGCCCTGACAGCACTCCTCCTGTAGAGGTACCTGGTGCCTCAGGCCCGCACCCTGTGTGGCCTGGACGAGAGCAAGGCCAAGCTGTCCTCAGATGTGCTGACCCTGCTCATCAAACAGTACTGCCGGGAGAGTGGCGTCCGCAACCTGCAGAAGCAGGTAGAAAAGGTGAGCGGCGACTCTGCCCACTGGCCCTGCTCCTGCCCCGATCTGCCCCCTCCACCCCGCGTCGCCCACCTGCACCCCGCTGTCCACCCAGGTGCTGCGGAAGTCGGCCTACAAGATTGTCAGCGGTGAGGCCGAGTCTGTGGAGGTGACCCCCGAGAACTTGCAGGACTTTGTGGGGAAGCCCGTGTTCACAGTGGAGCGCATGTATGACGTGACGCCGCCGGGTGTGGTCATGGGCCTGGCCTGGACCGCCATGGGTGAGCTGGACCCCAGGGCTGCAAGGGTCTGTAGCTCACCATCCCTTTGGTTGTCGTACTGAACACCTTCCCCCTGAGGGACCATGTGGAATGAAGCCCAGGGATTTGGAGCTAAGCAAGAAAAAAGGTGGGGCAGCCAGCAGTGTTGTGACACCTGGGAGGGTGGGGCGGCCCCCAGTCTGAGCCCACCCTGACCTAAGGGCAGGGAGCTGGGGAGTGGGCTATACTTGGCAGCAGGGCAGCCTGTGGGTCCCAGCTGAGGGCAGCATTGGTTACTGTGTGTGGGGGGGTGTCTTCATGACCCTGGGCAGAGAGGGCCGGTGGTTGGCCACGGGTGGGTGCAGGTTCTAGGCTGCGCAAAGGAGGTTCCAAGTGACTAGGACCCTGCTTGCTCAGGCTGTGTCCACCAAGTTAGTGCTCTGCAGAGGGGGGTGGGCTCTGGGCCATCCATGACCTGCCTCCCTGGAAGCAGTAGGCGGCAGAGGCAGGTTTTCAGGACCCACTGGTGGTCACAGGCTCCACACCCTCCTCCAGGAGGATCCACCATGTTTATTGAAACGTCCCTGAGGAGGCCACCATTCAAGGGCAACAAGGAGGACCAGGACGGCAGTCTGGAGGTGACAGGCCAGCTGGGGGAGGTGATGAAGGAGAGCGCACGCATTGCCTACACCTTCGCCAGGGCCTTCCTGATGCAGCAGGACCCCAGCAATGGGTACCTGGTCACCTCCCACATCCACCTGCACGTGCCTGAGGTGAGCTCTCCCCTCTGCCACCCCCCAAGATCCTTCCTGCCGCCCCCAACAGTGGCCACCTGCCCACCTATGTCTCCCACCAGGGTGCCACCCCCAAGGACGGTCCTAGTGCTGGCTGCACCATCGTCACGGCCCTACTGTCCTTGGCCATGGATCAGCCCGTCCGGCAGAACCTCGCCATGACGGGTGAAGTTTCCCTCACAGGGAAGATCCTGCCCGTTGGTGGCATTAAGGAGAAGACCATTGCAGTGAGTTTCCAGACCCTCCACGGGACAGGCCGTGGCCACCACTCCCATCACACCTATTGGGCAGGCTGGCCTCCTGGGCCCAGAGCCCAACTTGAGCTGGCTGTCCCAGCTGCTCCTTCAGCCCTTTTTTAGACAGTGGACAGTCCCTATTGGTGTGGGGTCTCCCATTGGCACCCCTGCCCCAGGTATCATGAGGTGGGGCTGGTGTGGAGCAGGGGGGTATGGGTGTGTCCCAGATGACCCAGAAATGAGGGACCACCACCTCCCTAGGCTGTGGGGGGCCCAGGGTCCTGGATCTGGCACTCAGCATCCTTGTTTCCAGGCCAAGCGTGCTGGGGTGACGTGCATCATCCTGCCCTCGGAGAACAGGAAGGACTTTCACGACCTGGCGGCCTTCATCACCGAGGGCCTGGAGGTGCACTTCGTGGAGCACTACCGGGAGGTCTTTGACATCGCCTTCTCCTGCCCTGGGCAGCAGGCAGAGGCCCTGGCTGTGGAGCGGTGATGGCTGCGGGCAGCAGGCCCAGCCTGGACTGAACTGTACGCTTGGGGAAGGACGGCGGGCCTGGCAGCAAAGCCACCCACCCATTGGCTTGGCCAGGTGACCTGGGTCCCAGGTCCTCAGTTATAGCTCGATCATGGAGACGGGTGCGATCATGATTAAAGAGCATTTCCAGGACCACTTGGCTGCCTGCTTCTGTGTCAGCTGCCTGCCCCCGGGCATGTCTGTCCCCAGCAGATGACCCCCGACACCAGGACGCAGGAGCCATGGTTTTCTGGGATGGTTTATTGAGGAAAGGGGGCTCAGTCCTTCTTGGCAGCTGCCTTTCTCATGGCGGCCAGGACGTTGCTCAGCTCCTCTCGCTTCCTCTTGGCCCGGATGTGTGTTCCCACCTGTGCGGCAAGAAGGCCACCCATCAGCCTGCGCCCCGGGTCCCCTCGCGGCGCACCCCCGTTAGCAGCCCACCTACCCTTTTCTTGATGAACTTGAGGGCCCGTTTGTCCTTGGAGACCTTGAGCAGCTCCATGGCACGACGCTCGTAGGGGGCAAAGCCACACACCTCCCGGATCATGTCCCGCACGAACTTGGTGTGCTTGGTCAGGCGCTGGGGGCAGGGGCGGCCGTCAGGGCGGGTCCGGGCCGGGACGCACCCGGCCCCCTGCACTCCAGCCCCCAGCCTGCCTGCCCCCGGCTGCCGTCCGCAGTATCGCGACACGGGACGGCGCTCCCCGGCCCAGGGCCCATGCCCGTGGCACACACCCGAGCCTCGCGCCGACGCGGTCCGCCAGGGCTCGCGCCTCTGCCCGGAAGGCCCCGCCGCTCCCAGCACTCACCCCGCGGCGGCGGCTGTGCCTCGGCTTGCTCACGTTCTTGGTCACCTTGTGGCCCTTGTTGAGGCCTACGGCCATGGGGTAGCGCAGAGCCATGGCTGAGGGAGGCGGTGGGGAGAAGGGCTGGGGTGAGTCCCGGCAAGGCGCCCGCCACCCCGCGCCGCGGCTTCCTCGGGCACGCTCGCCGGGCCCAGCCACCCTCCAACCCGCCCAGCGGGCCTGCGGGCCCGGATGGCGAAGGATGAAGAGTCAGGCGCTAACGAACTCACCTGCTGCTCTCCAATGGCTCCCGGAGCGGAAGGGCCGGCGCCACACGGAACTCTGGGATATCTACTCGCTGCTGGAGGCGCGGACTAGAGAGGCAAGAAGAACGCGCGCGCCCCCTGGCGTCCGGAGGCTCCCTGAGCATGCGCGTTGACCCCAGGACCAGCGGACGTGGTTGTGGTGCCTCAAAGGCCGCTGTGTTCGAAGCTGCAGCTTGTTGGTTAACCCGGAAACAGCAACTTCACCTCCCAGGCCCCCCAGTTTTTCCATATGTCAGGTGGCACGAAAAAACCTCCATCAACGGGTTGATTTCACGAAGGGAGTGGTCATAGTGCCTCCTGGTGGCATTTGACGTGTCGTAAGGTCGTGCCGGGATGCCAGGCGGAGGGATGCCTGCTGAACAACCTTGAATCAGGAGGTGGAAACAACAAAATCTAGGAGTTCTAGATTTCCGCGCCCCCTTTACCCCTTCTTCTGTCAATCTTACTTGTCTCTAAGAGACAGCCTCCGTTTGGGACTGGTGTGACGAGGACAGTCTTTCTTGGACAGAGCCCTGGACAGCTCACAGTAGCAGCTTTTTGCAACATTGTATCCATGCCAGTTATTTTTTACAATTGCTTTATACCAGCAGCACTGGCTTTCCATTTCGACAAGGAGCGTCCGTTTTTAATTGACAGATGTGCAGCTATGGCCCTCATTAGCCCAACCTCCCTAAGCTACAGCGTCATCCTCAGAATGGGAACAACTGTAAGACCCAACTCCAACAGTGAGGCCTAAGATCCTTGACCTCAAGGGCCTGGGGCGTGGGTACACTATTGCTGCAACCAAGTCCTACAGGTCAATCAGTGCCCCTGCCTCTCCCACTGACTTCCTGAGGGGAGCCCATCCTGTCTGTCTCCATTTCTCCACCTACAAAACAGGTTGATAGTTCTAGCCCCTCTCCCGGCTCCTAGAAATTGGAAGGCAAAAGGAATTTGAATAATATATATATATATATATGTATATATATATATATATACATATGCAAGGGAAGACCTTTTATTATGAAACGGGAGGCTGAGTCTAGCCCAGAATATGCTCTTCTCCTCTTCTTCCCACCTGGCCATCAGGTGGACAGCAGGCGTCAAGAGTACCAGAGACCCTACTGGGGGTGGGAAATGCTCCCAGTTGGAATCAGTGGAAAGAATCACCTGAGACTTAGAGGCTCCCAGAGGTGACTCAGGGCATCCACCTCAGGCGACCTGGGGAGGGAGCATCACTTTTCTGGAGACTGTTTCTTGTTTGCACAATGGAAGCAATGATCATGTCACCAGTGACCTCCAAGAAGCCCACGTCTGGGCTGCTGCCTTCCAAGACTGAGGGGTGCCGAACACCTGCAGTTTGTTTCCAGGTGCCCGCAGATATTCTTCTGTTTGGCTTTTGCCCTGATGACTCCATCTTGGACTCAGGCCACCCTCTCGGAGGTGTCTTTGTTAGTGTCCCGACTCCAGGAACAGCTGGATGGTACCTCCCGTCTGGGAAGACAGGAGCCCCCGGGGACTCAGGCTGCAACTGCGGAGATGTTGAGGTCCTGGCGAATGAACCAGGCCCTCGGGTGCGGCAGCCAGCCTCGCAGCAGACAGAGCAGGTGCAAGCGCCACGGGTAGAAGACACAGGAGGCTCGTGTAGCACCACCTCGGATCACAGCCAGGGCCGCCTTGGGTCCCGGGGACGCCTTGGCTCTCATGACGCCCCTAGGGAGGGAGATGGTAGGGACTGCGGTGGGTTCCCACGGTATGCAACCGATGGTTCCCTGCTCGCACCCAGGCCTCACCTGACTCCCTCCACAGTGGAGGCCGGATCCCAGAGGCCCAGGACGCACATGGTGATGGCCACATTCACGTCCTGAACATCCAGCTCCCTCCGCAGGGAGCAGAAGAAGCTGTCCAACGCGAACTTGGCCGCTGAATAGGGGGTGGAGAAGGACACGGGCACACGGCCTAGGGGCGCAGGAGGGCAGCTGCTGAGGGGCCACAAGATGCTCCTTTTCTTCCAGGGAGCCTTCCCACCCCTCCGCTTATCCCGCACGAAGCCCGTCCTCTCCAAACCCCTCCCCCAAGAGCTAGAGCCACATGCACGCACCGAGCAACGTGGACACCACCACCAGGGAGCCCTTGCTGTCAGTCAGGCTGGGCAGCGCCAACTTAGTCAGTTGCACATAACTCAGGAAGTTCACCTGCAGGGGGCGACGGCGAGTCACAGGGCAGAGGCGGGGCCCGGCCAGACGGGCGGGGCCCGAGGATACAGGTGGAGGGGTACGGGCTCCATACTAGGGCGGAGCCAAGGCCGGGAGGGGCGGAGCCTATGACCCAAAGGGGCGGGGCCCGGACGTCCCCCGGGAGGAGCCGAGGAGGGAGGAGCGCCTTTGCACGCGGGGCAGAGCCCTGGGCTGGGATAGGCGCGCTCGGGCGGAGGGCAGGGGGAGAAGGGCCAGGGCCGCAGGCTTCGGGGAGCACCTGCATGAGCCAGCGCGTGGCCTGGGCGCTGCGGGCCCGCATGCCGGTCGGAACGCCGCCGAGGTGGTTCAGCACGAGGTAGTCCAGACCCCCTGGCCCAGAAATGCCGGTCAGCGCAGGGCTGGCCCGAGGCCCTGCCCCGCCACGGGTGGGGTTCGGTCCGGAGCGCCGAGGTCCTCGCGGCAGGTAGCACCCCCCCACCCGGGAGATCAAAGCGTTTCTCTCCTGGCGTCCTGCAAGTTTTCGCCCCTGGTGGTAAGCCTCCACCCCTGGTAGTGAGCCTCGCCCCCTAGTGGTAAGCCTCCATCCCTGGCCGCGCCCCAGGCCCCGTGAGTCTCCGCCCCCAGACACCCGCCCCAATGCACCCCACCCCAGTTCCGCCGACCCTAAGGCTCAGGCCAGGGTACTCTGCTCCAGACTCCAGGCCCCGCCCTCACCCAGCTTGTCCAGCGCAAACTGCACCACGCGCTCGGGCGCCTCGGGGGAGGCCATGTCCGCGGCGATGTAGAAGACGTTGGGGGCGCCCAGCTTCCTGCAGTTCCCCACCACCTAGGAGGCCAGAGCTGCCGGTGGGCCTCTCCTCCCCAGCCGCGCCCCCTGCCGGCCACACAGAGGATCCCACCTGAAGCCCCGCCTCTATTCTGAGCTCAGGTCCCAAGGGCATCCTTCTCAATGCTTCACACAGGTTCGAAACCTGCCGCGGGCCAAAAAGAGCCACTCACCAACACCCAGGTCCCCGGGACTCCACACAAGTGTTCTGATTTCTGGCTTCTCTCGGGCATTCCCCCAAGCACTAACAGCTGTTGCTAAGGAGGGCCCCAGGCCATCAGCACGGGGGGAACACTCAGTACTCCCCTTCCTGAAGGGCACTTCCTGCTTTCCACTCCTTCACTGTGCTCAGCGCAACCAGAACCCAAGGGAAGGTCTGTGTCTCCATTTTGCAAATAAGGAAACTGGCTCAGAGAGGTTAGGCGACTTTCCCAAGGTCACATAGGAATCCCATTACAGAAGTTCAAACTTAGGTCTTCTTTCTACTCACAAGCCCCCAGCCATCCATCTGGAAATGGGGTGGCTCACCTTCTGCAGGAGGGCCTCGGCCTGAGCAGTGAGCACCAGGTGGGAGCCCAGGCGGGCGTAGTGATAGGCCAGCTCCTCACCAACACCCTCGCCGCCCGCAGCCCCGGTCAGCAGCACGCGGGCTCCCTGGAGACGGGCTGCAGTGAGCAGGGGGGTCAGGCAGAGCCGGCGGGATTCCTCCCGCCCCACACCCTGGGTGCTCACCTGGCTCAAAGTTGTCGGCCCAGTAGTAGGCGGAGAACAGGGCCCCCAGCCCCGTGAGGAGCAGCACCTTCATGGCCTGGGGGCCTCAGCGGGGAGGGGCAGGCCGCAGCCACACCTGTTTGGTGGGCCTCCATTTGATGAGCATCTGGTAACAGTGTGGCCCTGGCCCTGCCCCTCCTCTCCCCCTCCATGGCGACCACTTGGTCCAGCCCCCCACTATCCTCCACCTGAACTAGGGACCACTTTTCAGTGACCCCACTTCTCAAAGCCTTCTCCCTCCACCCAACAGGCAAATCGCAGCTTCCCTCCCCTTTGATGAACTCATTTAGGACAGAAGCCAGAATCTTGATGACCAAAAAGCTGTGTGGACAGGACCGTTCTCCCCTCTGCTCCACTCCACTAGCCTCTTCTCTGTTCCCCAAACCGGCCACAGCCAGCCGTCACCCTGCCTCAGGACCCCTGCGCTGGCACTGCCATCGGCCTCTTGCTTCTTTCAAGTCTCAGCACAAGAGTGACCTCCTGTAGAGATGCCATACCCTGAGCCGCCTCCCTAGAGCTGCTGCACCGCGGCCCTCTCCCTGACCCGTCTTCCTCCCCATCTCCGCACTTGTCCTGGCCTGGAAGCACCATTAATTCCTTAGTGTTCACTGCCCCCTCTCTCCCCCAGACGGTCAGCACCTTGAGGGCAGGAAGAAGACAGAAAACTGCTTCTGTTTTCCTCACTGTAGGGCTGTTTGGTTTTTGGTACCAGGAAGTTAAACCCAGGGGCACAGCCCCTGAGCCCCAGCCCCAGCCCCAGCCCTTTGATGTTCTCTTCTTTGAGCCAGGGGCTCACTGCATTGCTCAGGGCCTCGATAATTCCTGGGCTGGCTTTGAGCTCGCCAGCCTCCTGCCTCGGGGTCCTGAGCCACTGGATTAGAGGTGTGGTCCACTGCACCTGGCTGTTGGTCTTCAGAACCCAAAGCCATGCCAGGTATTCAACAGGTGCTCAGTAGACCCTAGGTTGACACGGAGTGCTATGGGGAATGGATAGGCAAGAGCCGGAGGAGACCAGAGAGACAGGTCTGTCTGGAGACACCAGAGGGCTGGACACAGAAGTGCCCTGTCATGGGGTGAAGACATGCCTTCAGTGTGGGGGAGAAGGAGGAGGAGGGCAACAAGCCAGATTCCTCAAGTTCTGGGGACCACGGGTCTCCCACAAGCCCATCCAACCTTGGGGTTGCTATCCTCTGAAGTCCACGGGACAAGGATGGGGGTCTTCACAAATCCAGAAGCTGCCAGGGCCGGGAGCCGCGGGATGATGGGCTGGGGGAACCGGATCTCCGCTCCTCTCTCCCTGACTTTCCCGCCCCCTGGAGCCAGCCAGAGGGGTCTCTGGAAGGCACCCTGGCCGAGCCCCTTGCACCTGCAAGCCTGTCCACGGCTCCTCCCTGCCCCGGAGGGCCGGAAGCCCTCACCACCGGCCACGCGGGTCTGGCGCTGCCCACCCATCACCCCACCGCCTATCTCTGCACCTTTGGGTGCTCAGAGAGCGGATCCCCGAGCCGTCCCAGCCAGGGCCACCAAGGCCGACACGCGCTCCCACCTCTCCTCACTCCCAGGGACGGGGCACGAAGCGCCCCGGGGGGCTCCTCCCACCCCTGGTCCAGCAAAGGAGGCGGGTGCAGAGGGACGGGCGGGTGGCTTCCCGCCGGGACAGGGGGGCGTGAGACCCCTGCGTGTCCCCAGCCGCGCACTCACCCACTCGGGCCTCAGTTTCCCCGCCGTCCAGCGGGGCCGGGGTCCGGGCGTGAACGACGCTCGGGCCCACCTTCCCGGCGGCGCTCGGCCGGACCCCGACCGCGCCCCCTCCCGTAGGGCGGGGTCACGTGACTTGGAGCCCACCTCCTATGGGGAGCGGACGTAAGCGGGACTCCGCGGTGCGGCGTTGCCAGGCAACGGCCTCCGCCGGGCTCTCCCGCTCGCCGCCGCCCCGCCACGCCCCCAGGTCTGACGCCCCGAGCCCGGTCACGTGCTACGGGCCCGCCTCTCTCGAACTAGCCTCGCGTTGCCGTGACGACCGCTTTCTAGACGTGCTCTTCCAGTCACTTGCGCCGGCTCGGGATCCCTCGTGATTCGGCATCTTTCTGGGTCACCTCAGGCTTCACTCCAGACCCCTGAGGCCTCTTACCCCTCGGCCGCCTGGGCCGGGCCGGACTACATTTCCCAGAGGCCCCTGCGGAGGAGCCGGAGGCGAAACAAGACACCACTTCCAGAAGCTTTTGCGGCAGACGAGGAGGACTACACTTCCCAGAGGACTGTGCGTCGCCGAGACCGGAAGCGGCGGGTGAGTGCCGTGTCCTTGCGCGCGGAACGGAGCGACCATGGTGTCGCGAGTGTGGTCGGTGATGAGGTGCGTGGGGCTTCGGGCGGGCCCCTTCCTGCGGGTACCTACTCGGCCGGTTCCCCGAGGTGTCAGTCCCCTCTCCCTGGCCGACGTAGGGAATCGGACTCTTTGGGACGGGCCTCGCCGGGTCGCGGTCGCCTCCCGCTTCCTCCCTGGTCGCTCGGCTCACTTGCCCGAAAGCCCTCCGAGCTTCAGCTGCCGCGTCTGTGAAACGGGAGTGCCCAGGGAATCCTACCGTTCGCGTTTGTCCCGAGGTTAATGCTCCCAAAGCAGCGAGTGACATACGGGAAGCGCCCTGCGACACTTAGAAAAAACCAGCGGCTTGCCCGCCGAGAGCCCACCCTGGGCAGGAAGGCTCCCGACAGGTTAGGTGTCTCAAGTCTTCATTGTCCCTTGCACTCTGAGGGACCTTGAATAACCCCAGTGTCCATTTTGCAGTTGCAGTGGCCCTGAGTGGCTCTGCTTTGTGCAGTGAGAGCTGAGTGCTGTAGCACCTTTGGCTCTCAGGGTGCCCTTCGTTTCCCCAGCTAGCTGTCAGGCCACATGCGTGTCATCTGGACTGGGAACCCCCAAGGAGGGTCACATTCCTCGTGGGTGGCCAGCAGTACACAGTGAGCTCCTTTCCCTGCGGCAGGTTCCTCCTCAAAGGCAGTGTGGCTGGTGGTGCCACCTACCTGGTGTATGACCAGGACCTGCTGGGGCCCAGTGACAAGAGTGAGGCCGCCCTGCGGAAGGCCCAGGAGGTGGTGCCCCCTGCCGTGCACCAGTTCAGCCAGTACGTGTCCCAGCAGACAGGCCTGCAGATACCACAGGTACGGCTGGGAGTGCGTGTGGCTCTGGGGTGGCCTCAGTCCTCCAGCCTGGCTTGGTGTCCTCTGCATGCCTGGGGCTGCTGGGAGGCAGAGCCCTTCCCTGTTCCCCAGCCTCTGCTCCTTTTTCCCCCAGCTCCCAGCCCCTCCAAAGATCAACTTTCCCATCCGCGAGTCCTGGAATTCAGGTAGGCCCTGTGCCTCTGCAGAGTGGTGGCCCAAGGCACCCCAACATGGCTCCCCTCCTGGCTTCCTGGCCCTTCTTTCCTGTCATCCCTCCTCCTGTCTCCCATGGATCTAAAAGAGGCAAAGGGGTGGAGATTCGGGGGAAATGGAGGGGGGTAGAGCTTCCCGGGAGGGCGGGGCTGTTGTTGCCTGGTAGAATGGGGGCAGGTGGCCAGGGCCACCCTGGAGCTTGGCCCGGGTGCTTGGGCCTATGAGCAAGACCCTGCCCTGCGTCCGCTTCAGTTGCCGGTTGGAAGTTTGGTCTCTAAAACAGACTTGCCCCCGGGGCTTCCCTGGGGCTTGGCTGAGGCCAGGGGGGCCTGTAGCCGGCTGGAGCCTCACAGGGGCCTCCCTCCCCGCCCGCCCCGCAGGCATCATCAAGGTGATGTCCGCCCTGTCTGCGGTTCCCTCCAAGGCCCAGGAGTACTCCAGGGAGGGCTGGCAGTACGTGAAGGAGCACACCAAGTAGGAGTTGCAGAGGCTGTCCACCTGCGGACCTGGGCAGGGTGCCGCGGGCTCCCGACTCCAGACTGGGACCCCACGCCAAGGGCAGCTCCCAGCCTTGCTGGCCCAATAAAGGACTTCAGAACTGTTCTGCCACCTGTGTGCTGCCGGGGGTCACAGTTGGGCCTGAGCTTCTGGCTCCTCCTAGCGGTTCCTTGAGGCTGGACCGGTTCTCCAGCTGGTTTGCTCCTTTGCTGTCACGGACTGTCAGCCTGATGCGGGGCGTCATGGTGGACAGCTGGTCCTGGTCCCCAGAGTGCTCAGGCTCCCAGGAAAGTGGAGCCTGTGCAGGGGCTTCATGATCCCCGGCTGACCGAGCCTAGGGGAGTCAGTCTGAGGGGCTCAGTGCAGTGAGCACCCACAGGAGCCCCAAGGCCACTGATTCGCTTGCTGAGCCCCTTGGGTCTTAGGCCAGTCCTGGTCTCCTGGCCACCACCTTCAGCCACTCTCTCTCTGACAACCTGGTGATCCCTGGAGCGCCCAGGCCTGGGGGCCCTGGGCCTGAGGGACGTCCACCAGAACCCAGGCCCTGCCTCATCTCCCAAGTCTCCCTTGTTCCCAGGGACACTGTGTGTCCCCACTGGACGGAAGCTCCAGCACGGTGGGTCTGTCTAAGGTTCCTGGGAAGCCCCTGGTACCCAGCCACAGAGTGTGTCCCCATGGCTGGTGATAGCAAGAAATCAGTGTCAGGAAACCAGAGGGCAGTCTCCCGGGAAGGAGATCAGCCTGGGTGGGAGTCGGGTGCCTTCCCAGGATGCTGTGCCAGGCCAGGGATCAGGGAGCAGGATCCCCATTCCTAGGAGTTTTGGGGATCAGGCGAGAGAGCTCAGCAGGGGACAGATATTAGAGGTGAAGGGAGCAGAGGACTGGGCGGCTATCCAGGCTGTCTGACTTGAACTTGTCTGTCCCCGAGAGGAGCCAGCAGGCATCCATTGGCCTGAGTGGGGAACAGGGCAGGGTGTGGCTGGGAATGCCTGGGCAGGGGACGCGCAGCCCATAGGTCCTGTGCCACTGAGACCCAGAAATGGGGACTCCCTCACTTCATCATTGGGAAGCCACATGGCTCCTTGTGCCCCTCTTGCCCTTGATAGCCCTTGGTGAGGGTGGAATGAGGGGGACTGGCGAGGATCCCTGTCCCCTGGTGCTGTGGAGGAAGAAACCCATGCCCTGCCGGGCCTGTCTACCAAGCCCTTCCAGCAGCCCTGGGAAGCACAGGCTCCCAGGCCTGTTCTACCAATGACGGGACCTGCTTGGCCAAATGCAAAACCTGTCACTTGCAGCCCAGGCGGTGAGCCGCATCGGATACCTCACACCCAAGGTGCCCTGGTGTTTGACCAGGATCTGCTGGGGCTTGGCTTGGTGCTCAAGATGCCTGGGTTGTGCCAGGTGGCAGCCATTGCTTCAGGTGGCCCCAGAGTTCAGTGACTATCACAAAGGGGGAGGAAGCCTGGCCAGGAGGGGACTTGCCAAGCTCCTACTCTGCGTCACAGCTGTTAAGGGTCCAGTGCTGACCCCCCACCCCGTATTTTTTTATTGGTGCGCCATAGTTGGACATACTGGTGGCATTTGTTACGTATTTGTGCCTGCACGCAATAGAACAGTAATCTGGCCAATGTCATTCCTCTGTTTTTTCCCTTCCCGCCCACCCCCGCCCCCGCCCGTGATGCGAGTCCCCAGCAGAGCTGATGGGAAAGCTGACCAGCCTTTGGAGGCCGCTGATGGCCCCTGTGGGCCCTTCACCCCCATCTAAGCTGCTGAGTCCAGCAGCTGGGGCACTCTGGTGGTAGAGTGTGCCCTGGGCCGCGCGTGCAGGCTGGGGTTCCAGAGGGCAGGCGTGGAGGCCCGCCAGCTAGGCAGGGCTGGAGCCCTTGCCGAAGGCTGTACGCTGGGGTCCTCGGGGCTCCCCTTATCCTGAGAAGGTGAGAGGCAGCGGGGTGGGGGACCGCCAGCACAGGCACCAGGAGGGGCCGCCTGTAATCAAGGGCGCCGGGTTTCAGCTGGTCTGCAGTGGCCCCCTGGCAGTTCAGACTCCAGGTGCATTCTGCTCCCCCCCATAAAGGGAGGCGCCATCCTGGGAGGGGTGGGGTGGCTCCTGGCACAGAGCCAGGTACAGGCACTTAAGCAGCACACGTTTAAACTGGAGGCTGAGGGTGTGCTGGGTCCTCGCCCCGCAGGTGGGCCCGTTGTCCTTGTGTTCCCGCCCACCAAAAAATCATAGCTGAGTTCTGCTTCCAGCAAATGCACACTGCCTGGGTATTCAAAGGAAGGGCGTGAGGGGACGGCAGAGCCAGGTGGCGGGCGCTCTCCTTGGTAACCGCACCCTTCCTAGACTAGAAAGGCCAGTTCAGAACTAGCCGCTGGTGCCCAAGCAGGTGGGCGTGGGCTGAATTACCGCTGAGGTTTCAGGCCAGGTGCTGGCAGCTGTGGTCTGACTCCCATTCTGGCCTGGCCTTTCTGGGTGGGCAGGCTCTGTGTCATCCCCTGTGGGTGGACAGGAGTTTTGGAGCCTGAATAGAAGGGCACCCAGGAGCTGAAGCAATCTCAGAAGTGGGTCTGGGAATGGCGCACGCCTGTAGTCTCAGTGACCTGGAAGGTGAGACAGGAGGATTGCAGATTTGAGGCTAGTTTCAGCAATTTAGTGAAGCCCTAAGCAATTTAGCAAGACCCTGTCTCAAGATAAAAAAATGGATAGGACCTGGTGCAAGGGAGAGGGTGGCGCATGCCTGTCATCCCTGCGGCTTGGGAGGCTGAGGCAGGAGGATCAAAGCCAGCCTCAGCAAAAAGTGAGGCGCTAAGCAACTCAGTG